CTCTRAACTGTTATAAATTAGGTTTTGCTATTTTGAAATATAATGATGCCTTTTTTCTGTTACAGATTTTGTTAGTGAAGACTAAATTGAAAAGTACTCATACCATTATAAACTAGATCACATTGCATAAGCTTGCAGGCAGCACTTAGCAAAATTAAAAGATAACTCATATAACTTGTTAAGATATTCAGTAATAGATGTAGGATTTTTTAAAAATAATTTACTCTTGGCTGCAAGACCATGAAATGAAACAGACTGAAACCAAAATATGATATATCATAATTTAAAGATACCTTCCATTTTAGTAAACATCTTGCATGTACATGCCTGCTGAAAGTGTGAGACATGACAGTGGTTAAGAAAAAAGAGAACTTCAGAATCTGAAAAGAGAACATAAACCCCAAAAATTCTGGAGTGCTTCAGTTACTGAAAAAAAAGACAACTCCATTTGAGGTTCTCTTGCTAGGTATGAGGARTCTGAAAGAGGCAGGTTCCTTTCTCATGTCCCAAATCACTTCCACAGTTTGCATTTGCGGCTGAGAAAAGATGGCAAGATGTGGAGATGCTAAAGAGCTGTGCTTTATAGGTAAAAATGGCATGTGATAGTTGTATGAACACACATATTTTTGTCAAAACAAACCATTTTAAAGATACATATGGAGGCTACATATGCCACATAAGGAGTGCCATGACTATAATGTACAATATTTCTTTAATAATATTTAGATTGGAATTAAAAGTGGCAAAACAGTAGTAGACAAGTCTCTGCTATGGCAGAAGAGCTGGCACTRTAATCAGATTTTAGAGGAGCTAGAAACAAAAGGTAACAAGATACTCTGAAAGCTGCAGCCCACTGAAGCCTGTGATAGAGGAAATTGCRTTGAAGTTACTGGAAGGAAAAAGTCAATCAAAATGAACATCTTTGTGGGATATTGTAGGTAGACAGATATTCATTTCATGCAACTTCTGAGCCTGCAGGACCTGGGCAGTGTGACATCAATCCAAAAATCATGTAGCTGTTTTATTGCAGCAGCATAAGCCTCATTGTTCACATATCTCTGTTTTTTCTCAGGGTCAGTAATACAAAAATGCTGTGATGGCCTTCGTCACACTGATGGTTTTTCAACTACCTGCAATTTACTATGCAGACACAGATAAAGGCTAGTCAGAATTTCTATTTTCTAGGGTAAAAATCATACCAGAGAGGCCAAAACCACAGGAGAACCTGTATCTGGGACTCAGTTTTGGTGCATCAGAGTAGTAGTCTCATATCAAAAACTATGCAAGACTGTAAAGTGAAGAATAATATGTAGACTAAATATGCAGCCTAACTGGTGTGATCAGGTATTTGAAATGCAATTATCTCTTCTGCAGGCAAACTGTCTGATTCTGGATCGAAAGAACTTCAAATATGAATAACAATTAAGAATGTGACTCTTTTCACTGGACCAAAAAAACCCCCCATAACAAACTCTTTTTACCAATGCTCAAAATAATAGGGTTGTCATCAATTTTGGGTCCAGAGCAGAAAGCTCTTTTTGGCTAAAGGGGGAGTAAGATGAAGATTTTTCTTCTGGTGTTCCTTTAAAAGTGTCTTTCTTTTTGGCTTTTTTGCCCTTTTTTTTTTTTTTTGTTTGTTTATTTATTTGTTTTGACTGAGCTATAGGATCTTTTAAAGTGTTTATATACAGTTTCACTTTTTACAGCTGTCCTTCCATGTTTTAATATTTCATGCATGGTTCTAGGAATTTGCAGTGCGATGAAAAAATAGTTTATTTGCAAATAGTTTATTTGAACAAATCATTGAATTAATTATTCAAAATGAAAAATTGACCTTCTCTGCCAATAGTATTCATTCTTCCCTTTTACTTGCCCTTGGTCTATGCCACATTAGATATTGAAGTGAAAGGTTACTAGAAATGAGGCACATGCTAGAGCTTCTGGGATCCTATTTTGGAAATGCATATTTTCTAAGCATTCATACAAACTGGACTGAAAAATACAGCATGTGTGGAAAGTTGGACAGAATACGATAGGAAGAGGGAAAGAAAGAATACACAGCTAGACTTTCTGAAATCCTCCCTTAAAGTAAATACTTACTAGACCTATATCAAATCATTATGCAAACTTGGGCTGTATGCAAATCTGCTTCAGTGCAATTAATATGAATCATCTAACAGAGCAATAAAAGAAAGTTATTRATCATTTAATCTCAGTTTTCAGCCTCTAGTGACTGCAAATGTTGCTGTCTTCAGCTGGAATCCTCAACTAAACACAGCTGTTGAGAAGCATTGCTCAGGAGGTTACATTCAGAGAGTGATCTGTCATTGCCTGATGTATATTCTTTTATAAGAAAATCTGCTACCAGATGTGTCCATCAGTATGGCAAACTTTTCCTCCTGATGACTGTACTGTACAGATGTTTGCTATGAGGTAGGCAGCTCCAGGATTCCTTCCTCTCCTTCATACAATGCTTGTGGTAAGAGCGCTGTGCTTAATGCAACCATTATGTCACTTATTCCTTTAAATATTCTGAGATATGAATCTGAATTCTTTTTACATGCTATAATTTACACTACATAGGTCTTGAAACAGCCCTGTGAAGTTGTTTTCCCTGTATCTTAACCCCTGGCAAAAAGGAAGAACTTTAACTGCTAGCATACTGCTTGAATCACAGGTCAATCTCCCTTTCAAAATAAGATTGATGCATCAGACATAGTTTATGAATTAATCTTGTTTTCCTGTTCTTAACTACATAGTTATTTACCACAGCTACAAAAAAAACCTTTTACTTCCCAAAGATTGATGATTTGGAGAATGCGAAAAGGTGCAGTGTTGCCTGACACTCCCATACGTGTCACCAAAAGTGACCCAAGGCGAGATTATGTTCCACAAATTGCGCCACAGAAAAAGCCACATGAGCCACACAAAGAAACTTAAGTTTTTCTTTCCTTGTGATTTTCTAAGTGCACCTCATGGCCAAGTCAGGAGAGAATAATTTTCCCTACCTGAAGCAATGAACCATAAAAATGGGATTAACATTTTAYTGACTTTTGGATGAAAAATAATGTTCCCTCCATCAGACACCTGAGACATCTAATTCACTGTTAACAAACATTGTGCACACAGGTTTTTCAGCTGCAACTTTCAGCTTTCAAGATGAATTGTCAACTGAAACTATGTAATTTCACCACAGTGAAAAGCTAGACTGGTTTTACCTGTTCTGGTAAAGAAGCAATCTTAACCAGTCATAGATGTGCTTGTGAGGGAGCATAACAGTGTTGAAGGAAATGTAAGCACAGGTGTCTACAGCTTGCATTTCTACATCACAGTCATGTCATGCTGCTTTCTGCTTCTTTCTCAGATCACATGATCTGGCCTCATCTGAACATTTATAGGATAGTTTTTCAGCCTGTTCATAAAGACAAAAACTAAAACTAAGGAGTGATTCTAATGACTGTAGATTTGCTGTCATTTGTTTCATTCTCAATCTGACAACGTCAAGAGCAGTTAAAGACCCTTTCCTGGGAAGTAWGTGCTTAAACTCCCCAGAATGAAAAAACATATTCTCTCTCCTGTATCCTTAAACCATAAGTTCTTGTGTGAGGTAACATTTCCTTCCCTTGAACTTTGAATAAAAGCAGAGGGCCTCAAGAATTTGGATTCTGTCCCTAATTATGTCCCAAGAACAGCCTCCTCAACATAAATAAGCATGGAAAACCTTCTTTGTGGATCCTAAATGTGAAATATCTACAAAACTGATTAGATCTGATAAAAATTAAATATTTCTAAAAAAATGTAGAAGGCTAGTTATTTAGGGGGTATAGTGAAGAAAGATAAGATATTTATGGGTTTTCCTTACCCAGAGGTTTTGAGAGAGAATTTTATTACAGCACTGATAAACTTAAATGCCTAAATTACGTGAACCTGTCCCTTGGTCCCTTCAAGGAAATTCTTTAAAGTTCTTTTCAACACAACCTAGAAACAGATTTTTATATGTGTTGGCATATGACTGTTAAAGGTTGTTTTTTTCAATTTAGTTGTGCAAGCACTATTTGATGAACAATGTATTTGCCAGATTTTGTCCATATTTGTCAAATAAATTATTCAACAAATCATTTTCGCTTTATTTGATCAGCTATAACAGCCTTTCTGACTCTTCTGCAATCTAGATACCTTTTAAATAAATAAGTATGCTTGCCTCCAGAGACTTCAGGAGACGAACAGCTGGTTTCCATCACCATGGTAAAAGCCTCCAGGGTGATTCCAGATGAATACCATTATTCTTCCCTGGTGTAGGACTGCATGTAAAAAGAACCAGAGAAACTTTTTTGTAAATTAGGTACACAAGAATGTTAGGAAAAATGAGTTCTGAGTTGGCCTTTGTTGGAAAAGAGACAAGATCCCGAACCCTGGTTCAATGTGAAGCAGGTAAGTAACACCAAGGTGCCTCATTTCTTAAAATGGATGAGGTGTGGGGTAGCAGGTGGACTTGAAAAATCAGGCATCAGAAACTGAGTCTGCAGGACAGTCAGTTCCTCAAGGTGATACCATTCACTGAAGGAAACAAACTCTTTAAGGTACCCTTGATTAATTTTTTTTCTAACAAGAAACATAAAACTTTGATGACCTTGAATCCTTTTTTGATGAAGGATCTTCAATCATAACAATCTCATTCATTATGCCTTTACTGGATAAATTGAAAAAATATGCAACTGTGATTCCTAAACATTGATGTTCAGAGTTATTTAAGCTCAGTATGGTATTTCCAGACTGCTATTGTTGCATACAAATGTTCACTTGCATAAAGAAGCACATTTTCTATCACAACAACCTCAGGGAAGCAGCTGGCTGCAAATGGAAATATCATCATTATCTTCAAATCCTGAAGGAGACATTGTTGCAATAATAAAGCCTTACAATTGTTTTACCTAACTTGGATTTAAATAACCTTTTTCTTAATAGAAAATTTGCATTAACAGAGAAAAAATCTGTTGCAGGATACACACTTGGTTCTTCATGGTTATCATCAGCCTCAGGGTTCTACCTTACACTAAAGGTAAATTTATACATAATTTATKATTTCATTAATTATTAATAAAATTTTCAAATGTGTTACAGGTGTATATGGTATGTGCCATGGATGATTATGAACACCTCAATAAAAAGTATTATATTTGCTTGCTGTCTGACTAGAAATGATAGTTACTTATCAAATTCTGTAGTCATATCTTTAAAATAATAAGTTATTAACCACGTTAAGTACATATTAGATGTTTATCAGTTATTTAAAAATGTATGTTTAAAGTTTATGCCAAATTAGTGTCTGGGCAAATGTCATGTGAAAATACACAGCCTCATTATATTTTACTGATTAATTCTTTGAAAAAATGATTTATTTGTGATTAATATATGATATTAATTGKCTTTTGAAGTTTCATTTTACTGCAAAATTTGTACTGATAAGTCGAACATTTCCAGACAAAAGATCTGGCTGTGTTTATTTTCTACTTAGGTGCTTCTTTAGGCACTGCTAGACTAATTACAAAGGCTAACCACTGTGAAGCCRAGGAGCAAACATAAACATGTTAACTGAAATAGTGTGAGTTGCAGTCTCACTGAATCCTTTTGTATAAAGCAAAGACAGGTTGATGAGAAAAGCATATATATTCCTACAGTGAATAATGAAAAGGAGACAGCTTTCAGAAGGAATCAGTTTCTAGACAGGTCTTTTTCCAAAACAATATGGTCTGATAACATGTTGGGGCTTATGTGCTTGCATGCTTATATAGATGCAGAGTGCCATGTGACTGAAGCTGTCAATACATCAACCCAAAAGRGTAGGCTATTGATGGCAAAAAGCTGTGAGCCACTTAAAACCAGGTGAATTTTAGAAAAGCAGATGAACTTTACAACCAGAAAAGCAGAAGTCCATCTCTCCAACCTGTTGAAGTCCTTCTGAATGGCTGCACACTAACAAAGCCAGCTCTCAGAAATCTCTGACTCAGGAGCCCAGGGTAAAGTAACGTTGAAAGGAAGATTTTTCCTTTTTTAAGGAGGATTGGTTTAAGAATACCTGAGCTAACTTGACATCCACAAGTCCCTGGGCCCGGACAGGATGCATCCATGATTGCTAAGAGAGCTGGTGGACACCATAGCAAGGTCACTCTTAATCATCTTTGAACAGTCATGGTGATCAGGAAATGTGACTGGAAGAAAGCAAATCTCACATCATCAAACACAAACTCAGGAGGCGTGGACTGGATGAGTGGACGGTGAGGTGGATTGAGAATGGGCTGAACAGCAGATCCCAGAGGGTTGTGGTCAGTGACACAGGGTCCTGTTAGAGGCCTGTCACTGGTGGTGTCCCCCAAGGTTCAGCACTGAGCACACCATTCAGTTGTTCATCAGTGACTTGGATGAATGGTTAGAGTGCCTCCTCAGAAAGTTTGCTGATGACAAAAAACTGGGAGGTTTTCCTGGCTTCTGAGAGGCTATACAGTCAGAGCATACAGTAAATTCCTGCCTCTGTTTTAAATACATTTTTATACTGACTGTGTCATAACCTTCTTCCTGATTCTCTGCAGTGAACATTAACTTCACACAGACTAGGGATCCTTCAAGCAATTAAACATCTAAGGGCCCTTTGTCGTATCATGCATTCATGACCTTTTAATCTGATTAAACCTGCCACCTGAAGTTGGTATTAATTTGAATTATTACAGGAATATTAGTTTTGGCTGTCAGTAGAAGTCTCCTAGTAGCTTAAATTTGATTATTGTGTGGTAGATTCTTTTTATATATTTTTTTTTTACTTGTTATGGGGCATTATAATTGTATTAATGTACAAAAATTAATACTAAACAGAGTAGCAATACCCAAACATTTTTATTGATTCTAAAAATCGCTTAAGAGGCACTTCAGTAAAATCTGACCCTATTAAGAACCTATCATAAAGTAATTGTCCCACAGATGATTTTATGTGAATTCAGTACTTTTCCTGTAGTGGAATTCAGTGCTTACCTATGGTCTGTAAAGCTTCAAATCTAATAGGTGTATGGGCTCTGTGTGACATAGAGGAAGGAGGGAAAGCACCTTGACGAGATTCTAGAGAAAGAAAAGTCAATATTTTGTTTTCAGTATAATCTGCAAGTGACGCATAATTTAACCTGGGCTTTAAAGCAATGTGAAAAAGAGAATCTATGAGTAAGTGTCATGCTCACTGTGATTTTTAGATAAAATAATCCTGAAGCATTTTACAAAGGTATACATGAAATGTTCATTACGTAAATGCATTTCCTTATCAATGTGTTCTTTGTTCACGTGGATAAAGTTCTACACTGTTTTGATGTCAAACAATTCCTGACTTTAAATAAATGATTCAGCAATGAGATACACTTGTCCACAGTACATGAAAAAGGGAAACAAATCAGAATGAAATGTCAATAAATTGGCAATATTAAATGTCAATCAACTTACTCTGATTGCACAGATTAGGAAAGGGAAACACCAACAGTTCCAAAGGGTGGTAATTATTTAACTTGTTGCAATCCCATAAAGAACCTTAATAATGTAGCAAATATGTGCCCCATAATGACAAAAAATAAAATAATACCTCTATCATGYCATAATATCAGCATTATTGTTTGTTTAGTAGGAAGAAAAGGAGGCAATTAGCTTGTATATTTATGCAGCACTTACACTGGAACATCGCAATGAGAAGAAATAATATTATTGTCTTTTACATCAGATCCTTTTTGTTTGAAATTGTGTCTCAGGGGTCGATATCACCAGTTTTTGAGAAAGAGAAAATAATCACTTTAATAGATATTTGTAGAAAATCCCAGCCAAAGGGCACATTTTTATCCAATTGTTGCTTTAGTAATGGTTAAACGAGTCAATGGGGCAATTAATGTATATCTATTCTATTTATTTTGTTTGAAGGTGTTTTGGTTATTCAAACACTTTTCTTCATCTTTCTATAGAGAATATTTAAAACTTAGAAGTACCTTTGCATTGTACAAAATATTTTACTTCATCTGAAACCATGTGTAACCTTTGAGAAAATGGATAAGCATTTTTTTTTTCTTTCCCACTTCTGGCTCTTCCATGGAAGCTGTCATTAACTGTTTTTCTCCTTGTCTTCCTATCTGTTATAGAAGAAGTATACCCTGKAAACTAGATACTGCTTTTCAGTAGAGATTTTTGAAAAAGAAAAGACATTATGGTATTCCAGATTTCTTTGTTCAAAAATTTTTTATTTGATTAGATTTACAGGAGAAATTTTGGATGATTTTTCTGGGGCTACAGAGTAAATGAAAAGATGAAATAGATTTTTGAACTGTGTATTGTGTTTTCATAACAGAGAAAATAATACTACTTGATGATAAATTAAACAGTAGCACTTAAAAAAAAGATAAAAAGCCACAAATATAGTAGAAGTAATAATGGAACAAGCCAATTTTTGATTACCAAACCCTGAAGGTACCCCTTAGTTAATATTTAGATATTTACAGTAAGAATATATATTTGCACATATGTTTTGTATTATTTAAAATTATCTTATTAGTGTCATGTTTAATACAACTGAATTAGGAAAGAGATTTCAGTAGCACTAAACATTCTATGTTTCACTTAAGCATTTATTAGGCTACTGCTAATTAGACTGGAGGTTTTCAGCTATAACAGCACATGTTCCACTTTATTATACAATTAGGGATGCAACATGAATATTTCATGCTTTAATTAGCTTTGCTGTTGCAAAGGGTTGCATTTCCTACAAACAACAAAATCGAAAGATTCCAAAGGTCCAACAGGGAAAAATCAAGTTCAGTCTGTATTAATGTAGGTTGAAGATAGGTTGAAAAAAACATTGGGAACCAAGTAAATTTTCAAGAGGGTAGATGGCCTTCGCCTCTGATGGTTTCTCAAGTCAAATTGTCTGGTAACTTAGGGAGGAAGTAGCTATCAAGCAAGCAAACACCAGATTAAATCTACATTCTATGTGGCTCTTTGCTGCTGAGTAGAGCAAAAAAAAAAAAAAATCATCAAGCATGGAAGGAAAATTGTTCATAAAAAACTTTGAATCAATTAAGAAGTGATTCTGTTCACTTTTTAGGTTTCATTTGCAAAACAAATTAATAAAGGAAATATTTTCAAAGATTGATCAATGTCTGGGCTTCAAAACATACCTGTGGTTTAAAACTGACATGGGTGTGCAATTAACATACCCAAGATGCAGTGAAACGTACTACAGGAATCATGTTATAGCTGTGTTTTCATGAGACTGCCAAAGTAGTCAAAGTCATCAGGCATTCACCTCCCATATTGTCCATCCTTTACTCTGTCCTCCTCCTCCACTGCACTCCAATGTTACTGCCTCTGCTTTCAGTCACATATTCTTTCCTTTCAGCCAGCTCTTATGTGGTAGCTCATGTGCCAGTCCATGTCTCCCTGTCTGTTACTTAGTTATAGTTTGCAGTGTGACCAGGTAAGCTTAGTGTAAGCAGCAGAAGCTTGCAGAGGGGTAGGAATGAGAGGAGGGCCTCCTTTCCCTGGTTATGAGCTGTGTATTTGGGTACRGCTGCTTCCTTAGCCATGGAGATACAACTGCTTTTGAAATTGGAGCTTTACTCAGGTCCCTGTGCTCTTTCTAATTACCACTAGTGGTAGCTGATGGTGTTTCAGTGTTCTTGTGATTGATTCTTCAAAACAGGTTCCATAGGTTGCCCAGGGAATGCAGTGACCACCCTAATGGCAGCCTAGGATGATGTGGAGAGCATTTAGCATGCCATGAGCCCCAGMCAAGGAGATGGCCAGCAGGGAGTCAGAAGAATTTCAGGCAGAAATGATGGGGGTGCAGGAACAGCACTATCATGCAYACTTGGTTTGGAGACTGAGCTTTCCAATCAATGTGCGTCTATCCAAACAGTCTGAGTTCGAGAGAAAACTGCATTTCCTTTCACACTTGTGTGAAGAGGACAGAAATCCAGAATGCCATTACAATTGTCTAGAATAAGTAGAAAGAACTTCCCATTTCTCAGTCTTTCTATTTTTACTTTAGGGTACCTATTTTCRTAATAAGTTTTGTGATACATATTTCCCCACTGATTTTGGACTCTGTAATTGTGTTTTTTTTCCAGAGGATGCTTTCCCCAGCCACCTTGCCACTTTTCACTAGTTATATTTTTGTGACTTTGTTAAATACCCAGTCATAAGCTCTGTGATAAAAATATCCAAGAATATTATCCTTCTCTCCTAATAGACAAGCTACTCTTAACTTCAGCTGAGTTCAAAAGACAGATGTCTTCCGGGGGAGTGAGGAGGGATGGTATGGAACTGGGAGAGACATGGAGGACTCCTCATTTTGGGAACAGGTGAAAAAATTTCTGTCTCTGAGCATTTCTCAAGATTTCTTAAGACTCCACTGTTTATGAAAGAATTAGAATAAATGAGGCAGAAAATTACAGAGGAGAAAGAGGCTGGTAACACAATTTTCTTTCTAATTTATGTATCTAACGGGCTGGTTTCTACACTTCAACTCTCCTTTAGAAAGCAGTTAAAATATCCTCTTTGTATATTTTTTATATCCATACAAAATAATTCCTGAGATGTTTCTTTCTTTTCTTTCYTTAAGGAAACATTCTTAGGTGTTGGAGGAAGGAGAATTACCAAAGCAGTCCTCAGCTGCAGTCATTGAGTTATGTAGCCACGTTGCTTGTAAGACGGAGATTGACATCCCTGTGGCAGAGATTGTCATCCAGTGGTTTCCAAAACTGATAGARTAGAGATTTAATGAGGGGAATGGTTCTCTGTACTTTTCCCCTTTTTGTATATGAGTTATGCTGATCAGGTCTCCATAGAACACTTAGGTACTCTCTCACCTTGTATTTGCTTTAAAACTGGGGACTTTTGTATGTTAAAAATGATCTAAAATGAAATGCAAATGAGGTGTTTAAATGCTTCTCAAATGGAGGCACAAGACAAAGTTTGTAAGCATCAGGGAAGTCAGAAAATTGAGGAGCCAAGAGTTCTGAGAGAAGTTTAATCCTGAGTTTCAAAGTCCTGGCATTGCAACTCTAATACCAACACATATTTTGAGTGCTATATTGTTTTACCTAATTTATTTATTAAAGGCTATTGTGTTGTGTKTTAAACTACACGAATTATTGCATATTCTGTGACCTTTAAGAAGGAAAGAAAATATCAACCTCTTAAACATTCTTCAAGTCTTTTTCTACACATCTCTAAATATTGAGATGCTAGTGAAATACAGTGTGACTTGATAGTTAGATACATAAATTCTAAGAAAGTACAATATTAATTAATTAGAACAATGTAAAAAGGGGGTTAGTGTAGATTCTTCAAAGACTGTTACTGGGGTACTTGATCCCTCATGTTTACTTTCCATTAGAACAGACAAGTAAATGATTTTTCATATAAGAGCTTATCTAAAATCTCATCTTAAAATTCTCAATAGAAATATTCTGAAGCAGATATAATCAGTCTTTTATCAGTCAGATAAGATGTCCCCGATCTGTCATATTAAATCATCTCATTAATATATTGTCATCAGAGAAGGTACTTTCACGTGTTTGGAGCGGCTGTGAGCTGCTCACCAATACTACCGACTTCTGACAGAAGAAAACATTTGTGGGATAAAATGCAATACCCATAAAATATATGTTTAAAATCTTATCCAAAGATAAAGTGTAAAATAGAAGATTGTGCTTTAGTGGATARATTRTAATAACTGAATCCTGGTCACAGCAGCAATAGCTGCTGTTGGGCTTGCCTGTTCAGAAATTAATCCCTGTTGGAGTGGCAATGCCTAGTTCTTCACAGGTGAGCTTTTCTCATGATTGCAGAAATCGCTGGGGAGGAACATATTTTCTGATTGTTATGCTTGATGCTAACTACAATTAAACAGAATTAAATAATTAACAAGAGCATTGTTGTATTGCGGTCTCTCAACAGATAGTTGTTCCAGTGGGAGAGGACAGTAAGACCTTTAAGCAGCTGCAAGGAAGAAACAGCTGACAACCTTGGGCATAAATGTGGAATGTATATTCAGTGTACTTGTTKTATCTTTTGTTTTAACATCTGTGATTTAGTCTATATGCCACCAGCAATTACTTGTAGAATTCTGGTAAAGAAAATAAAATATGATTACAAGTAGGAAAGCAAATATGATGAGTTATCATGGCCATTATAGAACAAGAATACTGATCTGGCACTCTTCAAATTGCTTAACTGCACAGCAAATGCAATCAATCRGCTTTATTTGTGCAATATATTAACTCCTTTAAATATTTTTACAATCTTCTAACAAAATATGTTCTTTATTATCTCAATCTTCATTGTGTACTCCTCTTTTTTGGTGTCTCTGGTTCTCACTCTCTCTCAAAGCCTTGTTTCTAGGAGAGCTCTCATATCAAAAATGTTGCCCCAAGCTGTTGCCACTTCATGGTTCATCTGGCAGGAAATAGAACTTCAGTTGGAAGGGAGAATATAGGTTTTCATTAATGCTTTTCAGAACTGAGCATCAAAATTCTTTATTCTGTACCCCTTTTCAGGGTAATTAAACTGGGTCAAAGAGTGAGAAGTATTTGGGTGGCTATTTTCAAAATGCATTAGCTTCTGCACTGAAATGTTGCAAGGATGTCTTACAGTAGTTCCTCTATATTYAGTAGCATGTGCAGTAACCTTTCCTCTTCCTGTAATTACTTTCACTCTTTAATTGCTTCTCCTTCTCCGAATGTCAGGTTTCCAATGGAAGATGGTCTTATTAAGGGAGAAGGAATTTCCATGTTGACATGTGATGCACTAGAGAAAGGTAGGAAAGATATTGAGTTCCAGATGAGTGAACAATTACTCTGAGCAAAACATGCTTGTAGTCACCTGAAGTGTGGGCTTTTCAATTAAAATATTTTTTTAAATTCATTAGTAATATTGCAATTTATACATCAACGGTATTTTATTTTTTATTTGCTTTTTCATTAGTTGGGGTTATCAACTTCAGTAAAACTGACCTCTCTACAAAAATTATTTTCTGCAACACATTCTCTCCCTGCTTTTTTGTGTAACTCAGACCTTGACTCGTGGTGGTATTTTGTTATACAAATACACCTTTCTAAGTGGAGTTAACTTTGATACATCAAGAGTAAATATAAGACAATAAGCTTTTAATCAAATGGAAGGTTGTGTTTCCTTTTACACTGTTGATGTCTGTCACCTCTGTGACAGACAAAATTGGCAAATCCAGAGTTAAAGGGCTACTGATACTATGAAGAGTTAGTTTTTCTTCATTGGACTTAAATTTTGTTGTTCAATATGTGCTAAAAAAAAAAACAACACATTAATTCTTTGTAATTCTTTCCTCACCAATATTAAAGCTATAAGTCTGTTATCAACTTCAGTCAATTCAAAAAGAATTCAGGATGTAGGCCTTCCTTTCTGCTTGTGCAAATATGGTCCTTTTGGTATCACTGGTGGTGTAATAGATCAAAGATAAATCTAAATGACATTTGGTATCATCAGAGTTCTTTGAAGAAAATATTCCATCCACTGTGGCCTGATCACATTACCATTATTCACAGAGTGTATTACTAAAAGTAATTCAACAAGGAAACTCAGTGACATGGAAAAAAGTTTAAAACAGCAAAGAAACGGAGAAGTTCCAATTAGGCTGTGCGGACTTTCATCAGATAAGTTAATTAGGGATTTAATGATTGCAAAGAATGAACTATTAGAGTAGATTGTAATTTCCAGCATCTACTGCATGAAACTCTCTTCCATAGGAATCAGCACACAATATACCACATGGCCATACCTTTCTTTGTGTGGAAAAGGGGTCTGACCTATGACCTACCCAAAGCAACATAGAGATGCCTCTGGTTCAGTAGCTTAAGCCCAGCAKCTATTTACTACTGCTCTCCATTTCACTTTCCCTTCATGTATACTCTATTTTAAGTAGGAAGAAAATAATGAGAAYGACAAAACTGATACTTTTTGGATGCAATCTCTACATGCTCTGGAGACTGCCACACCTTTGTCACTGGAGAGCTGCAATAGCCCAATGCTGACAAGATATCAGTAGTTTTGCTAGATGTCTATTAATGCAGGAGGTTTTTCTTCAGACTACAGCTTTTTCCAAGCCTGTCAAATGCTTATAGCATTATTTAACGATATCTTTAGCTTTAGTGTAAGTAGATATATAAACTGAAAAAATGAAAACTATGCACCCATTTGTCTCCCTCATGTTTTTTCGCTCTACTGCTAGTGGCTCTAGCAGTAGAAGCAAAACTGGGCTTCGTGAAAATTTCTTACATATTTCATCCAAACAAAAACCACATGTAGATGTTTTTCAATCCATTCTTAGACTTGCCTTTGATTTGGTCTGAATATGAAATGTAGGCAAGTACAGAAGTGGAACTTATAGCAGATATGTTTTTCATTCTGAAAATGCTAAGAATAATAACTTCATAAGAAACATACATTCATTTTGAGGCAATTATAATTCCAGATAAAAGTAGGTCCTGTCAGAAGGACCTGTCTGAATATACAAGATGAAATTTACTTTTATTTGAACATGTAGCATAGCAATAATTTCCTAAAAGATCTGACTGACCTATACAAAGTTACTTCTCGGCTAAAAGGATAAAAGAGGATCTAGCACTYCCCCACATGTGCATCTCTATGATTTCATTGAGTAGTATAATTGCAGGAAGATCTTTTCAAGACCTCAGAAACTCCTTCTAGTTTACAAGGCCTAAAAATCATTCTGTCAGTAGGAAACTTAATAAAGAAGGTGGGAGAGAAAGGGTGATCAGGAAACAAGGAGCAAGAAATAGGCATAATATAAAAACACAGTAGCAGAAATAATTTGAAGAAAAATCTGAAGATTGGTSTAGGTCCAATATAAGGATAATAAGCTAAAAGATTCAGGGGCAGAATGGTGAAACAGGCTTTCAAGTTCAAAATGGCAGTCCTGTAATTATTAATTCTGGTGGGGTGRTGTTATATCATTTTTCTTTTGACTATCTGCAAGGTGAGAATCTTTTCCTAAGATAYAGGTGATTATATGTTTCTCTAGATTTTGTTCCTTTTTGTATTTATCCTAAATAAATGTATTTATTATTTTTTTTTTCTGAAGACTTCTAAAATTATCCTTTGCTACTCATCTGTCTCTTAAGATAAAGTAAAAACCTTTGCGTTACTGTATAAACAAAGAAGGAAGTCAATGCTCTCCATTCTCCATTGGAGGAGTGCAAAAAGTGACTTTAAGTAATACAATACCTCACATAGAAACATTTCTTGTGGAACTCAGCTATCAAACTCATTGCTCTAGTAAGGCTTATTTAGGTTGGGTCTGATGTTGGGATATTACAAATCAGGAGGTTTGGGAAGACAAGCTCCTCTTAGGTTCACCCTTTCTTCCTATTTTCTCTGGTAGAATGTCTTTCACTGGTTAGGTACAGTTTTCTGCACTGCAATATGATGTTTTAGCAAAAGATTGGTAAGGGAASAAAATTCAAAATCTACAGAATATGTGGGGTCCTGATATTTTTGTCTATCACTACCACTTTTAGCCTAAACAAGGTAAGAAATGGGGTSTTTCCAAAATCACTATGTATCTATGTTCAACTGAGCGGAAGCTTCTGACACATTTCAGACTTCAAAGATGATTTTGAGGTGTTTTCTTTCACTGTAGAGTTCTAAATAACTTTATCTACTTACTTGAGAAACTCCACTGTGGCACGGATGTGTTGGTTTTGCATGGCCTGGGTTTTGTAGGCTTCTGTGAGAAGCTTCTGKAAGCTTCCACCATGTCCAGCAGAGCCTGGTGACTCTGAAGATGGACGTATTACTGGTTAAGGATGGGCCATTTGGAGATGGTGGTTACGTCTCTATGTTAACTTATTTAAGAATGTMATGGTTTGGAATGCTGGCCAAAAGCCAGGCACCCACAGCACCTGCTCATTTGCTCTCCCCCACCACCACACCGGGTAGAGAAGAGCGAAGGGGAAAAAAAACTAACAAAAGGTTCATGAGTTGAGATAAGGAGCGGAGAGGAAACACTTGATGGACAAAACAGGCTCTACTTAAATTATGAAGTGAATTTATTACTAACCAAGTCAGAGGAGGAGAATGAGAAATAAAACCCTCAAAGACACCGATCTTCTCCCCACTCCCTCCCCCCTTCCCACCAACTACAAAGCAAGGGGGGGGGTGGAGGGTACGGGGTGTTGGGTTGGTCAGTTCATGGTGTGGGGTTGGTCAGTTCAGGGTGTGGGGTTGGTCCGTTCAGGGTGTGGGGTGGTCAGTTCAGGGTGTGGGGTTGGTCAGTTCATCACCGGATCGATCTGTGGCTGCTGAGGGAGAGGAGTCCTTCCCTGCGTTGCCGTGGGGTCCCTCCCACGGGAGACAGTTCTCGGTGAACCTCTCCGGTGCGGTTCCACTCTCACGAGCAGCAGGCCACACACATCTGCTGCTGCGTGAGTCCCCCCACGGGCAGACAGTCGTCCCCAAACTGCTGCACCGTGGGGTCCCTCGTCCCCTGGGTGCAGGCCCAAGGCCAGGCTGTTCCATCTCAGGAGCAAGGACTCTCTCTCCATGGGTCTCCTGCTGGACACAGCCCCTTCTCGACATCGCCTGCTCCAGTGTGGGGACCTCCCTCCTCCACGGGCTGCGGGTGGATCTCTGCACCCTCTGTGGACCCCATGGACTGCAGGGGGACAGCCTGCTCCAACATGGTCACCATGGGCTGCAGGGGGACAGCCTGCTCCAGCATGGTCACCATGGGCTGCAGGGGGACAGCCTGCTTCACCATGGTCACCATGGGCTGCAGGGGGACAGCCTGCTCCACCATGCTTGTCACCATGGCCTGCAAAGGAATCCCAGCTCCTCCCCCTCATCCACTGACCTTGGTGTCTGCATTCCCTCACATATTTCTCAGCCTCCTCCACTGGCAAAACTACTGTGTGCTCCCTTTGTTTTGATTTCTCCTTAAATATGTTTTCACAGAGGCRTAACCACCATCTTCAATTGTCCCAGGTTTGGTCAGTGGCATGTCCATCATCCTCWGAGMCAACAGCAATTGGCTCTGCTGGACATGGTGGAAGCCTCCAGAAGCTTCTCACAGGCGCCATCTTTTTGGCCTCCCCACTTCCAAAAACTGGGCCAAACAAAACCAACACAAAGAATAAAAACAAAACAATTATTTTCTAGCCAGAGAAGAGGAGGTGGTGAGAACATGTAATGAAAACAACATGGAGACACCAAGATCAGTGGAGAAGGAGGGGAAGGAGCTGCTCCAGGCACCAGAGCTGAGAATCCTGGGCAGGCTGTGGTGAAGGCCATGGTGGAGCAGAGCAGCTGTGCCCCACAGCCCATGGGCCCCACGGGGGATGCAGAGATCCACCCACAGCCCATGGGGGAT